TTTCTTTTCTGGAAAAATAATAGTTTTACCAGTATCATTATAAATGGATACTAGTCTTCCATACTCTTCAAGGAACAAAGAAAAAAAAAAAGGGATACTAATGGATTTATGTGGTAGACAGCTTTTGAATTCCTTACCTTTCTTCTTTGTTGCAGAAGTAACATTCTTCTCAGCTTTCTTCTTTTCTCCTTCTTTTTCTAGAGAAGAAGTTTAAAATATTTCCTTTAGGAAAATTTAGTATGAAAGGAAAACCAAGGTTGGAATGAAGGATTATTGTTAAGTCAATTCTGCCTCTAGATAGCTTGGTGACTTTGAACGAGTAATTTAATCTCACTGAGCCTTATTTTTCTCATTTGTAGAATAACAGTACCTCCCTCAAAGTTTGATAATGTTTACAAAGCATTCTGCAAAGTGCCTGGCTGACAGCAAATATGTGAACTTGTGGGCTGCTGATATTGTTTACAAATAATGAACAAGATAGTTTGAACTTTCTAAACCAGTTGTTTATGTAGTAGCTAAAGTAAGATATTGAAATATAAAACTAAAACATAATGTCTTAGGAATGATATTGCAGGCAAGCTAAAGAATTAATTTTTTGTTTTCTTTTCATGTTTAGTTTCATTATAAATAATGTATTAAGCTATTAAAGGTATCTATTTTGATTTTGCTATTTTTCAAATCTGGCTCTTGTCAACAAGCATTTACAGCCTGATGACATTTATCTGGCAGTGTGTTGAAGACATAACTTCCACTGCCCTTTGTGAGTGGTTGCATCAACGAGGGTGCTCAGACAATCCTTGCACCCAGAGGTTGCAGTAAGTGTACATGCCACGTCAAACCACTTGCGGTACCTCTAAACTTCATGGAAGATTCCTGTTTCATAAATCTGAGAAAGTCTTGGTCCGAGGGGCAAGGAGGGAACCTCATGTGCTGTCCGGGTATAGACACATAGCAATTGGATATGCCTGGATACTTTTCTGGTAAGCATAGTAATTTCAAATAACAAAGTCATGTACAGTACATAGTTGTTGAAATGGAATGTTCAGTGATTTTAGGTTTGAGGCAGTACAAGTGCAGTTAATCTTGGAAATTGACTGATTTTTATCTTTAATTAGTAGTGTTATTTACCTTATATTTGTAATAACTTTCTCTTTGTCATTTGTCTCTCATCTTAGGTACACATGCATTCAAACATTTCCATTATCCAGGACTATTATAAGATGGTTACAATACTGAAGAAATTCAATATGTAGTTCTAGGATGAATGCCTAAGTTGTCTACTAATGACTGCATCTTATTAAATACAGGAATTAATTCATTCCCTTAGGTATAGAGCTTTTTTACCTACAAGATCAAAGACAACACTTTCTTTTAGCATTAGAAGTATAATTTATAAAGAACCCCATTTCATGACTCCTGGAGATAATCTAGTGTCGTAGGGAGAAATATATTCACACTTTGTCTAAACGTGTCTACACTGTACTATTACAGCTCATCCAATCAGAAGAAAAGAGTCAAAAAGTCAAATTTTGATAGTTCCAGACTCAGAAATAAACCAATTGAATTTCACTTTTCCTTTTCCTAAAGATTTATGAATATTAAATATGCAAATTATGTTTAAAACTCTGAATAAAGATACTTTTGACTTAAGCATCCTTATATTCAGCTTATCTGAGAAATTTTATGTGTCAGGGCTTTTCCATCTTTGCTAAATAAAAACATGTTCCAGACAATTGAATAGGCGTTTACTAGATATCACCCCCTGATGTCACCCACAAGAAAAGTACAGATTACTTGTAACTATTTCTAAGCCCATACTAAACATCAGTGCCATAGTAACCATGAGATCACAACTCAGTATCCAAGTCTCTAAGTTTCATAATGTAGGTGAATACATATTTCACTAAAAAGTTTTGCCAATTAATTAATCTTACACTGAACTTCATGATGAAAGTAGATATTTGAGGCCACAGATGAAAGACATTCTTTTCTTTTTTTTTCTTAAAAAGAATGCTCTTGTGCAATAAATTCTACCCTTTAAATTAATATAGCTGGGATTTTATTGTGGTGATACAGTATTCTTGCCTTCATTCAGATTGAATTAATGCTTCCATTATATACTCTGTCTATGATTATAGCCATACACTATAAGAGTCATGAATAAGAGCAGAAGTCTACAAAAAGCAGGTATAAATAATGTACTTTAATAACATTTTTATGAATTAGACCTTTAAGCTGTCATTACGGGACTTTCTTTATTCATAGTGAATTTCATTTAAAACCTCAACTTCTGAAGATTCTGCATTCATTCCTTCAAGCACTATTGTCTCTGTTCCATAGGTGATTTGGCAGCAGTGGAATGTAAACTTTTCATTTATAGAAGACATAATTTAATTATATCCTACTTGGATATAAAAATAACCCATTTTTTTTTATGAGATCTTCTTCCCCTGACTTTTCTCCCTCTACAGTCAATAGTGCTCCTCCCTTTCCACCTGATTATGCACCCGCATAAGCAATTTCTGCTTTACCCTTCCTTTTCTGTTTGTTTGTAACAGCTAGAGAAGGATTAGAACATTTAAGCCCATTGGTTTTTAGAAGGTTAGCAATTAAATGTTTCTATAGGATGTGAATTTATCAGCATGTTGCCTTTCTCTGACAAAAGTGTCATAAGCCTTGAAATGATGGCTTTATCTGGCAGGGGTCACAGGAAAGGCTGGTTGGGAGAGAAATCCTCCCTACAATGAGTAGCTCTGAGCCACAAATATATTATTAGCTTCTGCATAAATTAACATCAGATGAAAGAAAAATTAAATGACTTACATTTTACTTTTTAAGCCCTTACAATGGGCTTTTCTCTTGCTTTTAAATGTTTTTATGCCATCTCAAAGCCAGAGAATGCACAATAGTTAATTATAATTGTAAAGCTTCCTAAGATGCCAGTTTCTAACAAACGGAGGAAACAAATGCATAATGTTTCATTTTTGTCTTATGTTTTGTTCCTCTCCTCTTTGCCTAACTAGTGTAGAGATTATCCAAATTCTACATGTCAGATTGGTGCTTTTCTTCAAACACTCTATGGCCAGAATTGATGTATTCTTAGTTCCAGTCAAGTAAATAAAGATTTGTTTCTGTTATAACAATGCATTCCAACATACCTCATCACTGTCAGCTTGTTTCTCTACAGTGGCAGAGTTTGGCCTGGAACTCATCTCACAGTATGACCATGGAAAATGTTACGTAAGCAGATAAATTCAATAACACGAGGGATGATTATAGTTCTCCCAATGTTATCTACAGAGGGGTGTGGTGCTCTATACCAGAGAAAGCACAGATGCTAGTGTTGGTGACCTTGGTCTGAATTCTGTCCTTCACCCTTTCTGATTGTGTGATTTTGGACAATGTCCATGATACACCAAATTTTATTTTCCTCCTCTGAAAAGTAAGGCTAATAAAACTTACCTTGCTGACTTATTGTGAGGAAGACAGATAACTGAGTTAAAGTGCCTGGGACAGAGTGGATGTTCAAAAATAATGATAATAATGACCAGCTATTACTATATTTTACAACTAGTGAAAATCCAACCACATATAATCTTGAGTAATTTTTCTAGATGTGACATTTATTGATCTCTTTGACTAAATACAAATTAATTCTTATTTTTCTATATCCAGGGAGTCTGTCTGTAATAGTTTATATTGAGAAACTTCAGGAAAAAAATGTACACAAGTAAGAATGAACATGCTATGAAGGGACACTGTGTTGCAAAAGGAGAAGTGGATTCCAGTCTCACTTTTTCCATAATTGGTAGCCATTGCCTTATGAAAGTGAAAATAAATCATATATCTTCCAATATCAACCATAAATGGCAGGGAAATAAGTAGAATGCAGGCCGGGCGCGGTGGCTCACACCTGTAATCCTAGCACTCTGGGAGGCCGAGGCGGGCGGATTGTTTGAGCTCAGGAGTTCGAGACCAGCCTGAGCAAGAGCGAGACCCCGTCTCTACCAAAAATAGAAAGAAATTAATTGAACAGCTAAAAATATATAGAAAAAATTAGCCGGGCATGGTGGTGCGTGCCTGTGGTCCCAGCTACCTGGGAGGCTGAGGCAGGAGGATCGCTTGAGCTCAGGAGTTTGAGGTTGCTGTGAGCTAGGCTGACGCCACGGCACTCTAGCCTGGGCAACAGAGTGACACTCTGTCTAAAAAAAAAAAAAAAAAAAAGTAGAATGCATTTAAGTCCCTCTTCACCTATTCAATCCTTATTTCCCAGATGAAATATGCATCATCTTGCATTTATTTCTCAATTTTGCAGGAAACAGGTAACTTAAAAAGCTTAGAGTTGTAAGTAGCTATGCTATGTTGTCTGGCTTTGATATGGCTTAAAATTTTTTAAAGCAAGAGAAAAGTCCATGTTAGAGGCTTAAAATGAACATGTATGTATGTATATAATGCTAGGTGGTCATAAGAGTCAGAAAAGAAGTAAAACTTGATGTGGAGGATTAGAGCCTGAGAGGGTAGGAGGTGGCTTTGTTTCTTTTAAGTTGCATCAGAGGTAAACCTTTCAAATGGGTAACATTTGTAAAGATTCTTGAGACAAATGGGAGAGCTTTGGGCTAACAGGGAAAAGGCTTTTTCAGCAGAGGAAAAGTATCTGCCAAGCCCCTGAAATGGGAGCATACTTGATAAGTTAAAAAAAAACAAAAAAAAAAGAGTGTGGAACCCAGTATGGCTGGAGTGGAGGACGCTGGGGGACAGTGATAAGAGTTGTGGCCAGAGATGTAGCAGAGGTTAATCTTGTAGAATCTTGTCCGTGGTATGAATTTTCCATTTCACTGTGAGTAACAAAGGAGGCCACTGTGAGATTTTAAGCAGGTAAGTTATTTGATTCTGAGTGATGATTTAGGAAAAACTTTGGCTGTTGCTGGGTGGTGGCAAGTGTCCCATTGGACTTTGCGATCATATATTAATCATACAAAAGATGACCTAGGAAATAAAAAAGAATTCGGTAAAAGTATTCTTTTCTTTTTTTTTTCCAAAAATTTTCTCTGAATTTAATTTGGGACTTAGGAAAGAATGCAACTTTGTAGAAACATGGTAAGAATACCTCCCTTCACATTGTAATTAGGTTGCTATGACAGCAAAGCTCTCTAAATTAAGGACTTCACTTGAATTATCTGCATAACTAAGCTGGCCT